TTTCGCAGAAGCACACCGGGGATCTCTTGCAAAATAGCATGTTTGCCCTGCACCTCCCCGAAGCGTTCCGGCCCGCGGGGCAAGGGTCCTAGGAAGAAACGCGGAGGAGGGGCGCGTGCGGGCGCGGGGCGCAGGACAGAGTGCCCGGCTGCGTTAGCCTTCGGCTGAAGCGCGTTCTCTGGTTCTTCCCGCCGGTGTGAACTTGGCAAAGTATTTCATCTATGTGAACCTCCATTTCTCTGTTTATCGAGTGGGGGTAACAGTCTTTCGGGATTGTTGTAACAAAACCCTCCACGTGTACTTACAGCGCTGCCCTGAGCCCACGGGAACACATCTGACTGACCGAGTTGCGTTTGCCACCTCGGGTAGCTCATAGCGAGGAGGAGTGCATTCATGGGGAACCATGGAGTATCGCAGCGCAAGATGTTTAGAATTTATTTTGGGATTTGGACCTACGTTCTGTGATTTGAGAAGAGTTCGAGAAAGCAAAGCCTGCACTGGATCAGATGCTGTTAGGGCATAGGGTAATTCTGAGACCGGACGTCTTAATGAATCTTACTTAGGAGTGAAGACTAGATGGAGGCTAAAGCCATCATTGATAAGAAGCAAAAGCCATCGCATTTTGGGTCAATTTTTTGGTTTAGATAATGTTCAGGTTCTGTCTCTGTTCGGACAAGAATATGGAGTGGTCTTGTTTTTGTCGGGATCATTGTCACAGAATAGCCTTCTCTGATGTTGGTGTTCTGTGAAATTGTTTTTTATTTCGCAGAACACCGTGGTGATAGTCCAGAAGAGCTCACAGCAACATCCAGGCCAGCACCTGGATGTCAGAGCTGCTTTCTCCTCCTCAGCGCTCGGTAAATGACAGTGAAGTCTTAGATTTGAATCCTGATCACTGCTTATCAGCTTGTAACCTTGGAGTTGCTGCTTAACGCACTTCTCCACTTCTTCAAATGAGGATTTATAAAGCACTTACTATGAATCTGAAACTGTGGAGTGTGGACATTGGAAAGAAGGTCCAGAAATGAACACGATGCGGTGTCCTACATACCCAAAGTAGGACGGANTATTGGAAAGAAGGTGTCCAGAAATGAACACGATGCGGTGTCCTACATACCCAAAGTAGGACGGAACAATGAGAGCACCTGACTGAGGAGGAAGAGTTGGTCTGGGAGAAAGAGGTAGAGGTCTGACTACCCCCTGAACACAAGGAAGAGTATGTTAAATAATCTATGCAAAACTGCTTTTGAGAATTGTAAGGCACTGTGTAATCTTAATTACTGTCACTAAAATAACCTAGGTTTGTGCTAGTTGAACCCACTGGCTAAATGTTTTGGCTGGCTTGAGACCCTTTGGTCAACTCTCTTCACTGTCAGGAGTACAATGACCACTTCAGTTGCTTGACCTCTATAAAATCAACATCATGCACCAAATCTCAATACCTTAAAACAGCAAAGGTTTACTTATTTCTTGAACTACCTGTCCATCTATGGTCACTGGGGGGCTTTACCCCCTGTCACTTTCACTCGTGGGCACAGATGAATGGAGCCATCATCTGAATATTATTGCTGGCATTGGGGCAGAGAGGAGAATGTAGTGGACCTGACACCGGCTTTTAAAGGTTTCCCCTAGGAACTATGTATGCCGCTTCTGCTGGTATTTGGCCCACCAGCAAGTCACGGGACCTTGCAGAGGAGCTCAATCCTATCAGGTGCTCCAAAGGAGAAGAAAATATCAGTAAATAGCTTTAGTGTCCCCAGGCCAGGGCTTCTCATGAAAGTCTGTAGAAAGAAAGGGGCTTTAGAAGATGTTTGTTCTTAGGGGCAGTAAGAATTAGTATCTGATATACTTCGAGGCTTTGCGGCCCCTACTCTTCCACAAGGAGAAAGCCAGGTCTCCTTAATTTATTTCAATGCATATCTCCATGGTGATAATCATTATCCAAGCCTTTTTCTTTTTTTCCAAATCATATTAACTGCTTGAGTATGTATTAAACAAAAGAAGCCTTAACCAACTGTCGTTGGAATCTGTCATTTTACTGGGCACTGTAGATGAAGCAAAAGTTAACACCCCATAGTTAATTATCAAAGAAGTTTCCGTTTATATGGTAAGAAAAGAAGGGAACATATGAAAGGAGTAAAAATGATTCTAAAACCATGTCTATGGGAGTCAGCACAAACCAGTAACTACCACCGACTCTTGTTGCTCCTCGAAGGCTGACACTCATGCCTTCTTCCCTCAAAGACTCTGACATCGAAAATAAAATCTAGGCATGAAAGGAGGAGCCATTCACTGGGCACAGTCTTCCTGGCAGTGTTTTTGAAATGTGGGTCAGCAAGGTGTATTCTCCTGGGCAAGCTCTTCAGGAGAATTATGACATTTTATGTTTTCAGTTCAATGACCTAGAAGTGTTAACATAAGCATATTCTGAATTGTCTTTTAGTCAAGTACTGACACTTGATTTCGCTGCCTGTATCTGCATTTCTGTTTATGATCACATTGGCTCCAAGAAGAAATACTTTAATGTCAGAAAAGGGAAAATAAGTGGACTAAATATATAAACAATATGCCCAGTTAAGTGAGACCAAACACTATCATAACATATTGTTTAAAATAAGATTTCCTAGTATTCCAATAAAAAGAGTTGGAGAATTGAGCCATCACCTGACACATAAACAGACATACTGAACTCAAAAGAATGCCTGCTGTACTGGGCAATGCCATAGTCAAGTGTCAAAGCCAAAACAGAATATAGTATCTACTCATTGTCATGGACAACAGTGCGGTGATTGCAGGGGCCAGGGGGTATGGGTGGGGGTGGAAGAGGTTATAGGGGGGATAAATGGTGATGGAAAAATTAAATTAAAAACAGAATATAGTAGCTACAAGATTTTGTTTGTATCAAAGGCAAGTGACTTTTTTGGCTTCTGATAAAATCAACAAAGTAAGATGTGATGAAAGGGCCTCAGTTACACCAATTACTGCTTAGTAGGTAATTGTCAATACTGCGTTGATAAGAATGTAATGATACAACTCCAAATACAAATTGTTGAAAGGAAATGTAATCTGCTCACATGACCTTGGTCAATAATATGCCAAACAGACCTGAATAGGTCCTGTCTAGCTGAGAAATTCATAGCCTGACTTTAGCCCTTGTGTTTCTTGACTTCTGTTGCCTTGAACACTGTTGAACAAATTCCTCCTTCTAGAAATGTTCTCTCCATTTGGGTTGTGACACAAATCTGTCTTTCTACTACCCTAAGAGCTCCTTCCCAGTTTCCTTGGAGGGCTTGCTTCTCAAATGGCCCTCAGGTTCCATCTCAGTTCCCTTCTTCCCCCCAATCACATCACACTGTGTCTCAGCTACCACAAATAGACCAATCATTCCCAAATCTCAAGCTCACATTCTTCTCTTGAACTTGACATCCAGAGCTTCCACCTGACTATTTTTAAAAACCACTGCATACTTTTTTTGTGTCTTTGTTCCTTTTTTTTTTTTTTTAATTAATTAATTTTTTTTGTTTATTTAAAATATTACAGATGTCCCTTTTTCTCCCCAATGACCCATTCNTTATATGTCCCACAGCTTCTTTATCCACTCATCTACTGATGGGCACTTGGGCTGTTTCCAGATCTTAGCTATTGTAAACTGTGCTGCTATGAACATAGGGGTNNCTCCCTTTCTCCACATCCTTGCCAGCAGGAGTTGTTTGTTGATTTGTGGATGGCAGCTATTCTTACAGGCGTGAAGTGGTACCTCATTGTGGTTTTAATTTGCATCTCTCTGATGATTAGCGATGTTGAGCATTTTCTCATGTGCCTCTTGGCCATCTGTATGTCCTCTTTGGAGAAGGGTCTATTCAAGTGCTTTGCCCATTTCTTAATTGGGTTGTTTGTCTTCCTTTTGCTGAGTAGTATGAGTTCTTTGTACACTTTGGAAATTAGCCCCTTATCAGATACATTCTTGGCAAATATGTTTTCCCAGACCGTGGGGTTCCTTTGTATTTTGAGGCTGTTTTCTTTTGCTGTGCAGAAGCTTTTTAGTTTGATGTAGTCCCATATGTTTATTTTTTTCTTTTGTTTCTCTTGCCCC